ATTTAATATTAATAATTCCTATCAATCTCTCCTGATTAAAATTTCTAACTATTTATTAAACTAATAAAATAAATAAAAGTATTTTATATTTAATTCTAATAAAATAAGAATAAATTGCAGATTTATACCATAAAGTATTCGTTAAAAATTTTGTATAATTAACAAAGCGTAATTTTTAGTTTATCTCAGAAAAAATGGAATTTTTAACAAATTAATACTTTAATTTTATTTGTTCGTTTCTAGTTTCTTCAGTTAAATTGATTGAACAAGGCAAGGCAACACATGATAGATCTGCCAGGGAAAAGTGCCTCCCAAAAAAGCTTTCTATAAGAAATTAGTCTTTATTTAGTTGTTGGACACGTGAAGGAAAACTTTACGTGATTTACCCAGTAGTAACTCGAATTCTCGACCGACTACCAGCCTTCAATGGTGTTATTAAGTTGGCCATTAGTCTGCAAGATTTTTCACAGAAAGTCTTATTCTTTATATCAGTGTTTCCCAAAGTGGGGCGTACGCCCCACAGGGGGGCAATTTGATGGTTGGAGGGGGCAATTTGAGAATTGACATTACATAATTTCTTCCCTTCGCTATGAGCTTTTTTAATGCAACGCTTTAGGTGACAAAGAATATGAAAAAGAAAATTTTCTAAATAGAGGACTTAAATTATTAATAAGCATTTTTAAGATGGCATCAAAACCTAAACTATGTTATTAGAGTCCGCAAGTGAACTTTTCAGCGTTTCCTTTGCTGTATCTCTTGTCGCAGAAATCTTGTATCTTTTAAAGTCGCTAAGTAACAACGTTTTCGCACAATTTTTTTCTAAAAATTTAACTCTAATATTTTTAACACCTATATGTCATAATTGTCTGTCATTTATATGATTAAATGAATTAATTAATACATGTTGTAGAAATATAATTTTTACGTATTAAATAATTTGTTTATTTTTTAACCATTTAGCTTTTTATATAAGTTTTTAAACTGTAAAACTATTGATAATATTTAAAAACTAATTAATTGTGCCTTTTTTGTTAGTTTAGATATCTCTAATAGCAGTGTCTTTGATAAAGGAGTCCAGAAGTATTAAAATCTTGCAATCTGGTCTGCTGGAATCTTCAGGGCTTGCGTTTATCCCAAGTATCACTTGCGGCAAANAGGTTTTCAACAATTAAGCAACAGCCCCAAATGCCTTTAAAGAATTTATTTGTTCCAGGACTTCTGAATTCTGTTACTGGAATAAATAAACTTGTTACTAGTTGGAAAAATTGTGTAGCTTCTAATAGTTCTTATTTCAAACCTTAAGGTTCTTATTAATAAACCTTATTTTAAGCTGAGATATACTATTTTGAAATACATATTAATTAATGAAACTTAAACTACATATTCTCTTTTTATAATTCAATAATTGTTATTAAATAATACATTGGTTATCAGTAATTAATTTGAATTTCTAAAAGTGATTGAAATAAAAATAATGTATTAAAGTGAATATTTACCATGTTTTGATAATTCAAGCAGGTTATTATAACATTTAAATTAATGTTATAATAACCTGCTAAAGTTGATGTTGAAAACCACAATTGTTTTGCACTAACTGAATAATATTTAAAGATGCTTTATATAATACTACTAGCTGTTACCCATGGCTTTGCCTGCAGAGATTTTGCAATTTGGTGGAAATAACCCTCCCTCAGTACATCACTAAGATTCTCAATCATTAGTTGTTACTAATTTGGTAAAATTACTGATTTTTTTTTGTTTCAAACTATGGACTGCTAATGCACCTAAATTCAAGTTTCAAATATTATGGAATTCCGAGATACGATAAATCTGAGTTCATTTTTTTCAAAACATAAATGACGTTATCTGAAAATTCCTAAAGTATAAATATTTACTGAAAAATAGAGTTTCAGTTACCCCAGTACAGTCGACCCCCCTATAACATGGGGTTCCTATAGTTCGGATTCCTATATCACAGCGAAAAAATTGCAACAGTATTCGTACAAACATGCTAAAAAAACTCCTATAATTCAGTAAAACGTCATTGCCGACTCATGTCACGACAGGATTGGTCGAATCTAGACCAATAGCGGATATTGAGTTTAAACGAGCAGCGGACCTACTAAAAACCATTTATTATTTAACGTCCATAAAAATTATATTTATATTAATGATGTTTCCAAAGTTCAGCAAATTTTTTGCAAAAAAATAATTTATCAGTAAGCACGCGAGCGCCATTCGATGACAAGCTCCACGGTGAAAACAAGCTTAATTAAATTAAGCAATGGCGTAGTCAAACGGTGCACACTCAGTAAGTAATCCTACAATTTTTTGTTTATAGCATAGTTTATATGGATTATTCTCAAAAAATTATACATATTTTGGAAATGTTGAGTTGTATTAGTCTAGAATCGATTAATTTTATGGAAGAAATCTTTCAAACAGCTGTAGTCCGTAAACTGCATACATGCCGGGCTGTGATTGGCTGGACTCGTAGAAAATGGATTCATAAAAACTGGAACATATCTACTGTGTTATAGGGGAGTCAACTGTACCTCTTTCTAACCACATCTGTGGTTATTAAAACTGAAATATTAAAAAGAATAAAAATAAATATTATAACTAAAATTATGTATGGGGGGACATGATGATTTTAGAAATGTTAAAGTGGGGCATGGCCTAAAAAAGTTTGGGAAACACTGCTTTATATGAAACTACTGTTTAAAACTTATTTCTCATTGTCTGGCTTTTCTTCATTTAAAACAATGCATTTCAGTTATTTCAGCTGCATAAAAATATTTGCCCACCAGTGGACGAGTAGATAAAACTACTGAACACTTGTAGTTCAGTCGTGGGTTCGCTCCTGATCAACAGCCTACCACGTGAAGTTTTTCTGGTTTTATTTACGTTGTAAAAAAACCAGACAAGAAAGATCCGAGGAAATAAATTTTTGAAAAAACGGTTACTCTTATAACTTGAGAAACTTTTTAATACTGAATAATTTTTAATACTATGCAATGTTTAAAATATTTAGTTATAGTTTGTTCATTTCACTTAGCGTGAATATGTAAATTAGCACGAGATTGTGCGATGTAAGTGAAGAGGTGCTGTACGAGTCCATGCACGAAGAGAGATACCCTTTTGTTATGTCTTGATTTATCGTTAATTCTTCAAAAATGGCAGAATGGAGAAGAATGCATACGTCACCTTTAAGAGGATATGAAAAAAACATCAACCAAATCGTCCTAAAAGAGTTACAATAGGTACGTCATTCGAAACACTGATTTGCATAAATAGTATAGTGTTGTAATTTTAGTATAATTTTTTCTAAATAGATGAAAATAATAATCTGTACCCGTTTATACACCTACTCTGTAAAATATGTTGGTTATATTAACTTAGTAGGCCTACTATTCAATTTACTTAAATTGTTAACATCACACATGATGTATAATCTGTATTCAGAGAATATATATAGTCTATATTTTTTTTATTTAACTTAATTCAGAATTTAATAATAATTTCATTTCAAAATGAGTAATAATTTAAACAAGTATTATTGTAATATTAGAACAACTACACTTTAAATGAAATCATCAATGAATCACGGAAGGATGTGAAGCTAAATGTAAGAAGACGAAATTTCCGTTCAGATTTTTATAATTCGTTTTAAGATAATTTTAATAATTGAATAATAATTTTATTATAAAAATTACTAAGAACATTTTTTAAAAAATTTGAAATAATACGAAATCATTAGTGTAAGTTTATACAGTAATAAAGTGGAATAACTTTATAATAATATATGTAAATTATAAATATATATATACATAAATTTCACATATTATTATACAATTTATAATGTATCAACTTCATATACACATAATTCATATTGGTCATGTTGAAATTGGATGGTTTTTTTTTTTCAATTCAAAATAAATAGCTGAAAAATAGTCAATTTTATTTGATATTTCACGATTAAATTTGAATTTTAAATACAAGGATACACTTTCATTTATGTGTGATTAAAGCTACCAGATAAGGGATATGTATATAAATCTATTAGAATTTTTAATTTTTATATTTCATAAATTATCTGTGTTTAAATTAATATTGTAATTATACATACATTCTCATACTTTTTAATTGTCATGTAGAATCTTTAGGATTATGACAGGATGAATTACAACTTACCACATAAAACACTATTGATAGCAAATTATATTTATGATTTAAAGATGAAACCTAAATAAACAGTTTGCAGTAATATTGCTATAATATTATGTTGCATTTATTAAGAATAAAATGTTAAAAATATTTAAATTACTGGTATACATGTATAATAATAATTTCATATTTTTTATTACAAAAAGTTTTTAACCACAAACCATAAAAATATTATTGTTAATTTGGCATGTTTTAATTCAAAAAATGAAGATGAAATCTCGATATATATTCTTATTATAATTCCTTTAGATTTTTAATATAGTCGAAATAATTAAAATACATTATTTTAAATGAAGAAAAAAAAATTTTAAAGCTTACATTCTTCCATTTTCTTCTAGGATATACGCGATTTTATTACGAGTTGTTAAAATATACAACAGTTTTAGCGAATACTTTATGGTATAAGTCTTCAATTTGTTCTTATTTTATTAGAATTAAATATAAAATACTATTATTAATTCTATTACTTTAATAAATAGAAATTTTGATAAGGATAGATTGCTAAGAGTTATCAATTATTAAACTTCCGCTAAAAACGAATGCTTTTGATATACAATAGGATTTTATATTTGTATAATGAACTTCTTAAGTTAGACTTATGAATAAGCGTTTGATTTATGTTTTAATTTATGCTTATATATAATGTAGAAAACGAAACAATATTATATAAAATGAAATTTTGAAAGTAATGAAATTCGTAATAATTCTGTTTCCTTGGTTTTTCTTCCTTCCTATGTTTCATCACATCCTGATTAATATTACGTTGCTTCTGGATTTATGTTTTATAATGTCATAAATATGATTGAAGAAGGATATCGCTAATGATTTTACCTTATTTTATTCATAATTTATTCCATAATTGAAGATGGTTCGTATACGGTTTATACATTATATTATTATCGCGATGTTCTTCGACCTTTCAAAATCTGGTGAGTTTTTAAAATATTTTCTATTTGGATATTAGAGAGTGAATTGATGGCATTGAATTTGTGGCAAAATATACAACTTATTCTGCTATTTCCATATAAAAATTTGCATGTAATAGTATAAATTTTGTATGTTGAAATGTACTTTAAAATTGTTAGTGTAAGAGTGCCAGAGGTAAATTAGAAACAGGCAGTTAAAAGCTTAGCATGAGGCGAAGGGTTGACCGGGCCTTTTTTTTTTTCTTCTTTTTGTTTTAAACTAATGAAATACGTAGAATGATTTTACCCATTTGAGTTTAGTTTTATTCGATTAAGGTAAAGCATTACTCGAGCGATCTGCCGAAGGGACAATGCCTTCTAGGAGGTGTTTTACGGAAATCTGGTCCCTATTTAGGCGATACTGACGTGAAGAAAAGTCGGAAAACTTCACGTGACCATCCCATTGGCCATATGCGAACCCGCGACCAATTATCGGTATTCAGTGGTTTTATCTACTCGGTCATTGGTAAGCGACGTATTTATTCGGCCACTGGCGGACATGATAAATATAGTAATAGGTCCTCTTAGTATTTACAGAAGACTCTAGCTGCAGAGAGAGCGTTAGTTGTAAAATTATGCCGCTGCGGCGAACAGCACCAATCGTGATAACTGGGTTTGTATGAGTTTCGTTTTCTCGTCAGTGAATTGTCTATCGTATCAAATGAAATGTGGAAAATACAATCAAATTCATTTTGATGTTTGATACAGAAACGAATAATAATAATAGTACTTCTCTCGTAGGAAAATATCAAATTTTAAGTCCTCCCTATGTTTTATTTTATTAATGATTTTATCTCATAACATTGCAGTATTAATTGTTTTTATAAAATAATTTTTTAAGCAAGACGTCTATTCATAAATTTATTTTTATTTTAAACTAATAATTTCGAACAAAGCTTTTACAATTCATAATTATGAATAGAAAACACACAAGTATTGTACCGGTATATTTTAAACCATACTCACTACATTCTTTTTTATTTAACGTATAACGAGTTCAACGTTGTTGACAGTACAATAAACAAATGATAAACGTGCTATTTTACTCTTCGGTCGGGCGAAAATGCTTGTACTACGACCAAATCCAGTTGCCGCGATTGGCGTAGCCGGTATAACTTAGAACTAATGTTCTCCCTGGAGCTAGACCAGCGTTTCTCAAAGTGGGCGATAACGCCCCCTTGTGGGTGCTGGAGGCTTTCAGGGGGGCAGTCGAAGGCTCAAAGAGAATTCGGGGGCGTTAAGGAAATATAGAGGGGCGACGGCAGACAAATTCTATATATAAAAATTCGACGGAATANGATGGCCGGCCCTTCATTAATCTATATGAGTTATACAGAGACTCGTGTAAGAGAGGTTGCAGCCGAAGTTTTCATCTCTAAAACGTTTACGCTAGTACCAGTCAGACGTGAAAGTCAGGATTTCTGTTTGAACAATGAAAACACAAAAAAATTATCAGTAGCAAACAACCAAATTTGTACTACAATTCGTATAGAGCAGCGTTTCTCAAAGTGGGCGATAACGCCCCCTTGTGGACGCTGGAGACTTTCAGGGGGGCAGTCGAAGGCTCAAAGAAAATTTGGGGGCGTTAAGGAAATATAGAGGGGCGACGGCAGACAAATTCTATATATAAAAATTCGACGGAATACATATAAAATGTTGACATTTTATATATTTTTTATTTTTTATTGAAGGTCACAACTTGAATATTTCTAACACATTGACTTTTATTTTAGCTCAGCGTTTCTCAAAGTAAGCAATAACGCCCCCTTCTGGCGCGATGAATAGATCTATGATAGAGGCAGGGTATTGAACGGTGACCAAAGGCAAAATTGGGGCTGATAAGAGGAAACATTGCGTTTTATGGTTTCCAGATGATGAGAACAATGTACAGTAAGGGCACAAAGTGTGAGATTCATAGAAAAGTTTTCCTAAGAATATTTCCAATCCTTTTCTCACACAAGAGAAAATGGGTTAGGGGGCGTTGGGTATAACTTTATGGAACAAAGGGGGCGGTGGATCGAAAAAGTTTGAGAATCACTGAGCTAGACTATTGTAGTGTTTACAAGACGGAAATAGCCAACAAAGAAAGCAACTTCGTTTGCCACCGTTTTGATGTGTTTGCTCTATAATAATATTCCATTCTTTATATTAATAATATGTGGATGATATCATACGTTCTAAAATTATTTCCGAAAAATGCCCTTCGTTAAAACAAAACATACGACTCAAAAATGATAAAACGTTTCATGGTGGAGCAGAACTAATAAACTTTTAATTGAACAAACAATATTTTTAATTCAAAATTATAATTTTGAGAAATCCAATCTCATAATCATTACACTCTGATTTGCAGCTCTTATACAGTCGACCCCCCTATAACGTACGTTCCTATAACGACAATTTCTATAACGTAGCGAAAAAATTGTAGAAACTTTCGTATAACGTACCTCCTATAACGTCGTTTCGCGACAAGATTGATAGAGTCTGGACCAATAGTGGATGAGCAGCCGAACTACTTTCCTCCGACCCTGCGCCACGCTAC